CTTTTCTTTCCTTTCCTTTCCTTTCCTTTCCTTTCCTTTCCTTTCCTTTCCTTTCCTTTCCTTTCCTTTCCTTTCCTTTTCCTTTCCTTCTCTTTTCTTCTCTTTTCTTCTCTTTTCTTCTCTTTTCTTCTCTTTTCTTTTCTTTTCTTCTTTTCTTTTCTTCCCTTCCTTCCTTCCTTCCTTCCTTCCTTCCTTCCTTCCTTCCTTCCTTCCTTCCTTCCTTCCTTCCTCCCTTTTTCTTTCTCTTTCTCTTTTCTTTCGTTTTCTTTTCTTTCTTCCTTCCTTTCTTTCTTATTTTCTTTCCCTCTTTCCCTCTTTTTCCCCTCTTTCCTTTGAGGAAAGGCTGAGGGAGCTGTGCCTGTTCAGCCTCAAGAAGAGATGACCAAGAGGGGACATCATCAACTCCTGCCAGTGTGTGCAGGGAGGTGTCAGAGGCTGGACCAGGCTCTGCTCGGGGATGCCCAGCACTGGGACAGAAACCAACGCCCAGGATGTTCCACCTGAACGTGAGAAACAACTTCCCTGTGCAGTAACCAAGCACTGGAACAGAATGCCCAGAGATGGTGTGGAGTCTCCCTCACTGGACATATTCCAGAACCATCTGGACACAATCCTGTGCTCTGGGATGACCCCTCTTAAGCAGGGAGGTTGGACCAGATGTCACACTGCTGTGGGGCCCCAGCAGTGTGGCTAAAGCTGGATGGGGAGAGAGGCTGGAGAATAAAACACCAGGTGCTTGAGGCACCAGAGGCCTGGCACCCTGAGTCCACATCCCAGGGTGGTCCTGAACTCATGATGCCCCAGCCCCATCCTGTCCTGTCTCTATCCCTGCTGTGCCCCCAGCCCTTTGATGTCCCATTTCCTGCACCTTGGTGTCCTTATCTCCATGCCCAGGGTGTCCCAGCCCCTCCATGTCCCAGTCCAGCCCTGTGGTGACATCCACCCCTCGATGTCCCTGTCCCCATCTTCACCCCCACAGTGCATCCAGACTTATCCCTGTCCCCAAAAGTCCCACCTCCACCCCCAGTATCCCCATCTTTATTTCCATCATGCCCCCAGGCCTGGGAAGGAAGTGCTGGGCAGGGTGGGGGCAGCTCTGTGTGTGCTGGGAGCGGCTTGTGATGCTCAGGGTGCTGTGACAGAGACCCCCCTCTCCATCCTCCCATGCAGCAGAGACCCCCACCTTCAGCATCGCACACAAAGAACACCCTCCCCCCTCCCCACCCAGCAGACGCACCCCACAGACCCCACTTCACTCCACGCAGGGCGATCCCAGCCTTTATTGCCGACCCCGTCATCCCGCGTATCCCAGCTCCTCCTCCTCCTCCTCCTCGCTGTCCTGGACGAGCCCGGGCT